CTCAATTGCTCTGACCCAGGGTGGTAGCACCTGTTAGGGCCTCAGCTATGGAACAAATAATGAACTGACAAGCAAAACACTATGATGGTAAAAAAGTACATTTTTATAGTAAAAATACCAGCAATACATTTTTATAAAAAATAGGACCAACAATATATAGTTACAATAAAATGATCAAAAATACATTTTTATAGTAAAATGACCAACAATACATTTTTAAAGCAAAATCACCAGCAATATGTTTATCTGTAATTGAAGGTATACAGTTGCATTCAAATTATACTTAGTTGAAGCTATAAAATTGTGTTCAAATTATTTAAATTTTGGCATTAAATAACCCATATGCTGCTAAACAAAATCAACCAAATCAAATACATTGTTTTGGCCACCCAGCTCTCCAAACTTCTTCAAGTGCCTGTCTTTATATTCAGTAACTTTCTCAGAATTTCTAACCAAACACTTTATTCAGTCTGCAGTATACTAGAATTGGTGATCTGCTTAGGCTAAATAAATTGCTTGATTTGAAATTCTGAAAAAGATACTGAGTATGAAAGTAAACACCTGAAGAAGGCTGGAGGTTATATAATAGGCAAGACATTGTGAATTCATTTTAATCTGCAGGTGTGGCAGGCCTCCTGCTGCTAATTAGAATCTATTGAGTGTGTATGTGTGCACATATATGTGTGGGGGAGGGGCAACCAACATCAGCTACCTTTCAGTTTTTCTTACACCATATTCCTATGTGAGTCTATCACATATGTAATAATATAATTTCACTATCAACTTCATTATGGTAGAGATTCTAATTTCTATGAGAGATATCCGTACGTCAGCTCCATTATAGTATGAGGAATGTCACATCTAAAATCTGCATGAAGCCAGAATGGACTTTCCTAATTATCATATCTTGTAATTTTCTCTTTATTTAATTAGCCCTCTTCAAGAAGCTTAGTGACTGGAGTGTCAAGTAATACATAAAGCAGCTGTAGAATTACTTTAGAACATACAGACAAAAGAGGCATGTCTGAATGGGTCCGTTTTAATATTACTTCTTCAGGAGGGTCAGCAGGGAATGTGGATTTTAATTTATAAGTTATTAATATCCATTGAAGGAACAGTAATACGCAAAGTAATTGGTGGGTGGATTAAGTTCTTTTATACAATAATCTTGAATTGAATGTGCTGGTTAAATGGACCATTCATAAATGCTCCTATCACAGACAATGGGGGATGTGGATTTAAGGATTATCTTTTAAATAATCCATGCTTAAATGCTTTTGTTCTGTAAAATATGTTTGGCTCTGGGTGAATGTACTCTTATTTAGGGATTCACCATGTATTGTAATGGGAAAATGACAAATTTTGGCAAATGTAATGCATGCTCACTGATATCCTTGGGAAAGGCATGAATCCAGCCTACTTTATACAATGTTCTGTTGTCAGATCTCTTGATAAAAATCTTATTGCAGACATGTGGATTAATAGAAATACCTGTGAAAATTTTTATGGTTTTCCTATTTTAAATTTATGATGAATCCTAATACTTAATTGAATAAACACTTTGTGAGTTCTACAACGATAAAATACACATGGAAATTCCCCTAATAGATTGTTAAATATTTAAGGCTAACAAATTTAACAAAATATTGCAATAACAATCATAAATATGAATGCAGGTTATTATTTAAAGAAGTGGGGTACAAATGAAAAGATAAACAATTGACAATGTTTTCCATTTCACTGAAGCAGACATTAAATATATGAGAGTGTTATTGCTCCCTCTGTCTTCCTATCTGTCCCTAAAATGAAACACTGCCTCTGATTTGTTTCATCTGTTTATTCTCACAATTAAACAGGAATAGCCCATTATTTGTCTGAGATAATGGCAGGACATAACATACTATTAACAAACTAACTAAGGAACAAAACAAGTAGAATTATAATATGATACTAAATTTTACTTGAGGAAAGGTAGGCACAGATAAATAATTAATCTTGCTCTTCATGCAAATGTCCTTAACTTCTCTCTATTCTCTGTCCTTTTGTCAGCTGTCTTGACAAATCTCATTACTGGTATACTATAATAGATAATGGAGAAAAATATGTATATATATTAACCTTGTCAACACCCCAGTGGAGCATAGGAGCACACTATCACTATACTACATTTTTTTACTATGGTTTCCATAGCAAGTAAGTTTTACAAGGTGGAATTGCTAGCCACACACTCAACCACTTTGGGATTCAGAGTTGTCCTTGTAGACTGGTTGTCAAATTAGGCTAGAGAGTCCAGGATGAAGAAAAACAGTTCAGTTAAACCAGAGATTCTTTCTAACTAATAGTATCATGTAAACTAGTATTGGGGTGTGTTCATTGGAAAGTAGTTAGTCACTCCAATTTGTCCCTAGATATACCATGAATATTTCAGTGTGGCACTTTGACACTCTCTTTGATCAATGAACCAATCAAATTCTTATACAAAAGATGACAATGAAGAAGGTAGTTTTTTAGAAAGCAAATATGAAAATAATGTAATATTTATAGACAAGCTGTATTTCTCAGCATTAAAGATTCTTTTTTTCCCCCTAAAAGAAGTCTAAAATATTTGTTTCCTGTAGGCTGAAGGTTACTTTAATTTTATGTTTATTTATTTTTTAATTTTCCAAGTCAAAATTATATTGCTGGAATGCACCTCATGCCAAAAAAAGAAAAAAAAATTACTACTTTTTTACAATAAAGATCCAGGCCAACACATTTGCTGCAAAATTTATTTTCTTTCATTTTTCTAACTCAGGTTTGAATGTTTAGAAAGATATAAGAGATAGATTTTTTTATAAATTATGTGAATTATTTCCTCTTTATTTGTTACTATTTTAAGCCAGACCAGAATAAAATATGAAATGGGATTGAGATGATCCTTTACACCATTCTGCATTTTCCATTGATAATATGAGCACAAATTGCTTTATTTTTAGAATAATGGCAGCCAGCACATTTCAGTGCTTTCACTGGTTACTTCCCCTTAATTCCAGCCTCCATGTTGTCAGATACAAAATTTTCAGTTGATAATTTTGGTAGATTATGTGTATTTAATTTTTTTTATTGTATGTAAAACTGCATTAACATTATTGCTTTCTGCTATAATTTTTGAAACCATTAAAATTCTGTTTTGCAAAATTCTAATATGAGCATGAAATGGTTTTTAAATTTTCCCCAAGATATAGGCTTTAAATGTTCACTTTATGTTTTCTGACATGGTAGCTTGAAACTAAAAACACATTTATCAGCCCTTGTTCCATAAAGACTTTTATTGTCATTATTTAAAAAAAATTCTTTGTGTGTATGTGTGTTTAGTTTTAATTGTTTCTCTTCTTTTTAATGAATAACTTTTATCAGCATCACTTTATATATTTTTTTTTAAAATAAATGGATAAAAAAAAAATGCAGTCATAATATGATGCAAGGTAAAATTTTATGAATTTTCTTAATGACATCAGAACAATCAAGGTTCATTTTGAGCTAGGTCAAGGTCAGTTAGTGATTGATTCTCTCCAATGGGCTTTTTCTCAACATCTATTCATTTTCTACTGTACTGATTTGGGCTTCCTTTTCAGTTGGGTATCCGTCTGGAATTTTTAATAACAAAACATGAATAATGGCTGCAAGATGACATGAGGTGTGTGTGGGGGGAAAGATTTTCTTTTTTGTTTGTGTGTGGTGTGTATGTGAGAGAGAGAGAGATAAAGAGAGAAAAAGAATATTATGACAGATAAAAGTTGCTCAGTAAAGAATTAAGTTAAATTGGATGGGAAAAAAAGAGTGAAAAAGTAAATTTAATTATTCATTTGTGCATCCCCACACATAAAATATAAATTTAATAACTGGTATTATCTTTTATACAGTAGGAGATGAGGCAATACATTGTTATATTGTTTTAAATTGTAATTTAAGTTATAAAAAAAATTTCAATTTCTTTTGTTTTATCAAGTAATTTAAAAAAATATTAGCTATCATATCTGATTCTCACTTTGTAGAAGCAAATTTTCTAGCTTGAAAAATATTTAAAAATCCAGTCATATGGATCATAAGAGCTGAAAATTTTTTAGAAAAAGTGTTTTCTTTACAGACTGTTTATATTTGGGTCATAAGACTCAAAATTGAACCTCCCTTAATAGATATTAAGGGAAGTTCATACATGTACTCACGCACACACATGACAGGGGCATCCACACACATCCTGTTATAATTGTGTTTGTCCTGCCCTTTGTTAGTTCACACGACCATTATGCTCTGCCAATAGCTCCTAAATAATGAACTTTTCTATGGAATAAGGGGGAAAGATACTACTTGGTTTCATTGAGAAAATGAAAGAAAGAAAGAAGGGAAGATAAAAGTGGAGAGAATCAGGTTAAGCTGATTAGAACAGCTACTACACTTTGATCTTGATCAAAAAGTAACTGTGATAAAAGCGCCATTTTTCAGGCACATAGTATCAAATAGAAGATAGATAGAAGCCAAGTAATGTATTCGCTAAAAATCCAGTTATCATAAAAATAAAATAACATCATTTGCTGAATTATTTTTAGATTATTATTTAGAGAAATGTTTGTAAGACAGGGATTTGGCACATAAAATATAAATTTAATAATTGGTATTATCTTTTATGAAATTGGTGATGCAGCAATTCATTCTTATATTGTTTTTTATTGTTTCTTTTATTTTAACAATTCATTATTGATTGATTTGTTTTATATGGCTTATCAATGCTTTGCAGGTTATTTAAAGTCAGAAAATATTTTTAGAATGTAAGAATTTTTTAAAAGATAATAATGGTTTAGTGATACAAGTTTTACTAATTAACTCATACCTGGGAGGATTCATATCTTTCTCATGTGTATTTGCACACAAGTGCCTATAATGAATCTGAATGGAATTGAAACTAGGCTCTCTGATTAACAATTCTAAACCATTATCCATTACATCACTTGCACATCCAAACTCACAGCACCTGGTATTTCCAAGTGGTCACCTATCTAGGTACTGACCAGGCTTAACATTGCTTAACTTTGGTGATTGTATGGGAACTCATGTTTCAACATAATTGTGGCCATAAACTGATCAATTAAATAAAAAATAGATATTGGTTATTATATTGTAAGTATAACTGATTCTATACTTTTGGAAGAAAATTCTTCAGCTGGAAAAATGTTTAAAGAAAATGGCATATGGATCATAAAAGCTAAAACCTTTTTAGGGAAACTATTTTCTTTACTAGCTGTTGTATTATTTGTATTATTTACATTATTTACATTTGAGCTATTGTCCTCATCTTTGTTGTTATTACAATATTTCAGCCATTGTGTCCTCAAGTCTTAATCAGGTGCTTGTTGATCTGGCTAGCCTTTAAAAAATTTTTAACTGACTGTTCTCATTCTGATAGCCATGTCTAAGGATATCTCATAGTATTCTTATTTATTACTGTTCAGTTATTGCTCACCCTTTTTCCACTTAGTCTATGTCTCCACTACACAGTCCAAAGATTGAACTTGCAATTAATGTCACCAAATTTATAAACCAGTGCTTTAATCCACTTGGCTATTGTCCCATGGGACAATCCTGAGTCTAGAACTTGGAGACTTAAATCAACTCTTTCTTCTGCTGTGATTGCTGTTGCTTGTTATACTTGACTGCATTCATCGAAGCTTCTTTTTTCTTAGTGATGTAAATAGTGTAAATAATGATAATTCTTCTTCACAGAAATTCAGACAGAAATTGGCACACAACTTATATCTCCAGACTCTGGAAATACATTAAATTGGAGTACAAAATAGAAGACAAAAAAAAGCAATGTTATTATTGTATCTTCGAGATGTGGAATGGTGCAGCAGTTATCAGGTTCCAAAATGGAATCAGCAAACCAAGGCTGCTTACAATCACTTCACACTAACAACCACGGGAAAGCCATGAATCCATTTCTCCCTGCGTTTGGAGGCTTTTTTGCTTTGTAAGGCAGTCCAACTAACAGAAATTTATTTTGAAGAAAAAAAATACAGTTTGGCAGTAATGGGAAGAGATGGACAATGAACCAGAATTCCAGTGGTGTGAGAGGATAACAAACTTAAAGCTGCTACAGAATATAAAAAATTCCAGATAAACAAATCTCATATTGTTAAAAAATATACTAATGAATATTACCAAAATGAGGACCTATAAAGTGCTCCTGAAAAGTTCTTGACCAAACTAAGGGATTCCCCAGTACTTCCTTGTATATGAACATCACATTTCTACATTCCTTTAATATTTGGTGCCTGATACTTCTTAATTCTAAGATTTGAAACTTTTTGTCATAGGTATATTCAGTCAGTCAAATTTTTTAATCTCTTGAGCTTTGTACCTCATCCTTAAAATCTGCCAAGACAAGCATCCAATTTTTGACTTTATTCTTTCCAACACATACATGAAGAGGAAGAAGAACCATTATCAACTTTAGCTCCATACTTTTCCTGAAATTCTATATTTTTCTTTGATGAATTCAAAAGTCGAATTTCCACACCTTCTTAGAACTGATAATTTAATACCATGTAACAGATATTAGGTTTTTCTTTCCTGATGAGATTCTTTGGGTCAATAGCCTCTTTTTAGTTAAACTGTTTGGTATAATCAGGGTAAAATCTTGGGTAGATTATTAATTAAGCCTTCCATTTTCAATATAAATCTGATATTGCATCCCTATTTCTTTGTACCTTGTTGGCTGTCTATGGAATACACTGATTGCAGATGCTTGCTCAGGCACATTTGTGTTTATTCAACACCCACAGAGCCTGTCTCTGGTTTATACTGCAACAATACTGAGCAGACTTTAGTTACAGTTTCTGGGAAAGAGCATGTTATCTAGCGTGATCAACAATTTGAACAAAGCTAGCATGCTCAAGACCTCGGCCACGATGACTTTCACTCACAAGGCTTGGGTCAACTCGTGGTATAGTTTTCAGGCACTTTCCAAAGGTGCCGCATGCCGGGATCAAACCTTCCAGTCCGATAACATCAGTAAATCTCCTTCCTGACAAATCAACCATGGTGAGATTCGAACCCAGGTCTCATAGTCAGAATGTGAATGTTCTAACTACTCGGCTACATGCCCAATATATATATATATATATAAAGAAATAATCATACATAGAATCAATCAGCAATATTAATGCGATTAATGGCGAAATCACTTCGCTAGTAGAAACATATATATGATTATTTCTTTATATATAAAATATATGCTGCCTAATTATATATATATACTCATGAATCATTCATACAAAAAACAAATATAGAGGTTAATGATTTAAATGACGAGAATACATCTTTGCAAACAATATAAATAAGGTACACCAACCCCGAACCTGTATATGAATGATATGATCCCTGTTCATAAATTCCAGTTGCATAAGGTCTTTTAATTTTTACAAGCTTTCGTCTGTTCCTACAGACATCCTCAGGTATCGAAATAGATTTTGTTGTTTTTACTTCTCGGTAATAAGAGGACAATGAAAATAGAGATGTAATCCGAAAAAATGCTATGAGAAATGTGTTATTGTTTTGGAATGTGTGGTCGCAACGCTGAGTTTGAATTTAAATTTTATGGTTGTGCGTTTTTTTGGATTACATCTCTATTTTCGTTGTCCTCTTAGAAGAAGACTTTTCAGATGATAAAGGACAATAAAATAATAGGATTCAGGAAGACAGAAGATGGTGTTTTGTTTGATGTTGTATTTAAACTTCTGAAGATCATAAAAACAAGCTGAAAGAGAGTTCCACAAGTGAGATGTACAAGAAAACAAAATATTAGAATAGTACTTACATTTAGCTATTTCAATAGTAAAACAATAAGGTTCAGTTGCCAGTGCAGTACTACATCTAAATTTATGCAGTCCAGGTACCAAAAAGGAAAGTACATTAGAACAATTGCTGTGGAAATATTAATAGAAAAGGCACAGGGAAGCCATGTCATAGGGATGGGAAAGTGACTGAAGTCGAAATACCAGGTCAGGACTGATAACATTGCAGACTCTTTGTAAGAGAGAGTGTAGAAACATGATTGTAATTCTTGTATAATTTGTAACCTCTCACAAAGATGTATACCAAATAAGAAGAATAATAATTAAAAAACAGTTATTCAAAAAATGTAATTAAATTCATTGTTTTCACTTGAAATAGATAAATTTAAATTGTTGGCTTATGATAATGAATCTAAGTTCAGCCAAGTTTTCTCTGAAGAAAAATAGCAAAGAGAATCGTGCATTATTGGATATCCAATCTGCTGACCGACTTTAGTCTTGGCTTAAGAATGACCAGGTCTGGCTACTGCAAAAGATTTATTTTCTTTATTTGAACTCTTCCAATTTTGGTAGTAATTCTGCCAGGTTGCCTTGACTAGGAGTTCATTAACCGACTTCAAGGACTGTACCTCAATGATATTTGAATTAGATGCCATAACAAAGTTACAAAGGCCTAATATATTTATAGTACAATTTAATGAAGTTTTTTCTTGTTTTTTCTTCTTTTAATGACTACTACTACTACTACTATTATTATTAGTAGTACTGATATAATAATTATTCTTATTACTACTACTATTATTATTGTTGACAAAGAAAATGATTAACATAACTCTTCCAATATTCTGCAACACTTAGAAAAGTGCACAATTTAAGAAAAGAAAAAAAACATTGTTTTTAATAATGTTTAACAATATTTCAACAGTATGTCTGCTTTCTTCAAGTTATGTTTAAAAATTGCATACAAGTATAAAAATTATAAGAAATATAAAAAGATATAACCATTTCTTTTGTATTTTTTATATTTTTATACTTGTATGCATTTGTTAAGCATAACTTGAAAAAGATAGACATACTGTTGGAATATGATTAAATATTGTTAAACATTGTCATTTGTTTTTTTTTTAATTGCGCTCTTCTCTAAGTGTTGCATTATTATTGTTGTATTATTATTACTACTATTATTATTTGAATTCATATCCTCTCTGAATCTTAGATGTTTTGCCTGATTGAACATGGTATCTCAATTATTTTATCTTAAGATCTCCACAGTCTTTCTTTCTTTCTTTTTCTCTCTCTCTCCAGTTTTTTTTCTTCCTTTTTGTCACCCCAGTTATTCTGTCTGACATCATTTAGTTAAAACAAAAAAAACTTCCTTGATAATGACTAAAAGAATAGCCAAAAATGCTTGGATATGCAGAACTTTTGGATAGTTTTTACACACTTTGTGTCCAGAAAAGTAAACACTTGTATGAACACAAGAAAAATTAAATAAAAAGATTAATTGCAGTACTTTGTCAGTTGACTTTAACAAAACATGTATAAAAGTGATTGCTGCCTAAATACACAATATATACATATATATATATATATATATATATATATATATATATATAATGAAAAGTTAAAAATTTTTTAGTCTGATGCATTTCATCTTTTAACAAATTTTCAGTATCTGTGGAATTTCCATGGATCCATCTGGTATTTTTACATTTGTTATTTTGATCTCTGTTTCAATTTTTATACACTCTTAGCTTAATATTTTAACCAATATGTTTTCTATTTTTCCTTCTTCAAGTATTACCAAGGATTTCGCAGTTTTTTAATACAAAAATAGAAATAATTAAATTATACAAAATATGGCCAAAATGACATATGATTGTGGCCAACTCCTGTTCCTTCAGTCTTGCGAAATGTAATGACATTTTATAGATATTTGGAGTGTGCCTGATAGCTGAAGTAGTTGCGTATTTCAAATCAATGCCAAAAACCAGTGGACAAACACAGATGAAAGACAGGATTTTTTATGCAGATTTTTTGAAAGCAGGTTGGCAGGTCCTCCTCATATAAAAGATTGGTGCAACACCATCTACTAAGCTGTATTTAATCTAAACATATCTTAAGCTTAATATATATATATATATATATATATATATATATATATATATATGATACTCAAATATTGCTGCTGCTTTCCCACAACTTAAAGTTTCAATATATGGTGGTCTCACAATATTCAGACGGTTCAAAAGGATACTCAATCCTATATTTTTCAAAAATAAAGAATCAAAATTTTAAGTTGCAGGAAAGCAGTAATATTTCAGTATTGTTTTTTTTTTCTGTATTTCTTATATTGGCTGTGTTTATATCTTTTTTATATTTTGCATTGAACATTGTTCTTATAGCTTCCTTTTATTTGTTTCATTATACAATATATGGTATAATCATATATATATATATATATATATATATACATATATATATATATATATATATATATATATATATATATATATATATATATATATATATATATATATATATCCTTAGTGTACTGCAGTTCATATCTAAATCAATATCTAAGTAATCCAATTGCTTTTCCCAGACAGCTATACACAAGTTAGGTCCTTGCGAGATTCTAGATTTTCAGATGAAGTTTGGCTCTTGACCAATTTATTGTAAAACTGATGATTCTTTTTGCTATGATGCCAATAATGAATGGAACTTATCACCCACCCACTACAATTTAAGAACAAACAAATTAGCATTCAGGAGTTTGTTCTGACTATTATCCTCATCATTGCTAGAAAGTTGATACACATTCTGTAATTTTATCATCAGAAATGTGTAGAGGGTCAGCTGATGGGTTTTATCATCCCATAGATAAATGGATATATTCTTTGCAGCAACATTGAATGTTAGAGTTGGGGATAGAATAATTATTTTAACTCTACAAAGTAGTAAATCTGATGCAAAGAAAGAGAAACACATAGAAGGTGGAAGGAGTCATAATAGAGAAAGAAAACAAGATTGTTAAATTTTGCCTGTGAGAAACATACGTAAAGCAAATGTTAGGTGGAATAGTAAAGACAGATTTTATTTTAGTTTGAATTTCTGCAATGAGAAGTTACCATTCTTGACTTTATTTACATTCAAACTAATATCCTCATATTTGTTGTTATTATGGCTTAATGCCATATCATGTTGAAACACTGGTTCTTGTATGGTTACTGAAGTTAAGAAATGTTGAACCTGGTCAGTATTGAGATTGGTAACTGCTTAAGAGTACCAGGTGCTGTAAGCTAGGACGTGCAGGTGGTGTAATGGATAACAGCTCAGAATTGCAAATCGGAGAGCTAAGTTCAAATTCCAGTCTGGTTTGTTATATTAACTTACATGCAAATATCCTTGGGAAAGGCATAAATTCACCTCTTCTTCTCTCAGCTATGGGTTAATTAGTATAAAAATAAAAAATCATTATTATCTCCAAAAACTTCAGAAAATTAAAAATATTTTCTGGCTTTAAATAACCTAGAAAAGTTTGATAAGCTGTAAAAAACAAGTCAATCAATCAAAATTGTTATTATTATCATGTTTTGTCTGTTGGTACCATGGACCTGAGTTTGAATTTCATCATATCATGTCGTTAAATCTAAAAGAAAAAGATCATTAGATCCTTAAACTTAATTCACATTTAAAATCGGTCCAAATTATTGGAACACCCTATATTTAGAGGGTGGAGGATAGAAATGTAAGCTTAAAAAATTTTTAACTTAAAAATTTTAAATTTAGCATTCCTACATTTTCAGCACTACCCCTCAGTGCATAATTATAACTGATGTTTATGTCTATATCTCCAATTTCCCCCTATAAATATAATTCCATCAATAAGAGCATTACTCCATTTTCTGATTAAGTATTTTTAGAGGATGAAATGTGTTACACACAGTTTTCCCACTTTACATTCAAGAAACATGTATATATAAATCTACAATATGCACATTACACAAACACATATATTGTCAAAATATGTTACACATGCGTGCACACACACACACACACACACACACACACGTGCGCATGTGTGCATATGTACCCACATATGTAAGATTCAATGTGTATCTAGATACAGGTTGAGAATGCTTTATCTGAAATTCTTGGTACCGGAAGGGCTTCAGTTTTCTGATTTTTTTTTTTTGATTTTGGAATACAGGCTATTTAATTTGTATATAGCATCTATAAAATGGGGCAGCTTGGGAAGCATAAACGCAATATCTCTTTACATTTCATAATACAGCTTATACATATACCCTGAAAATAGTTTTATATAAAATTTAATAGATTTTCTGTACATATAAATACAGGTAATGATGCTAGTCATGTAATTCTCACACAGATCTTTAAGCAGTGAAATTAAGATTTCTTGTAAAAATAATGTTTCGTACTTTCTGTATGTGTACAAAAAACATGATCATTACTTACAAAAAAATATATAAATGCAGGACCTTTTGATATTTTGAATAATATCTTTATTGAGCATGAAACACCTGGTAAGTAATCCATAAACAAAGGTCGTGCTCTGATGATGACTAACAAAAAACTGGCACCAACGTAGGTTACACAGCTGAGCTTTTTGAAATTTTCCTTTTGTGACAAGTCACAAAAAAAAAAAAAAATTTTTGGATTTTGAAGGTTTTTGGATTTTGGAATTTCAAATAAAGGATACTCAATCTGTATAAAAAATTTTTGTTTGTAACAGTTTTCTATGTCATTGGAATAATCCATTATACTAAGATAGGTGAATTGCCTATCTTTATGTATTGGTTTTTGTTTTTGTTTTGTTTTGGTTTGGTTTTTTTTTATGGCATATCAACCACAATGGGTTATTTAATGCCAACAAAATTTCCTTTTTTTTCCAAAAATGTATAGCTGGTCACTTTTTTTTAAAAAAATGTATAGTTTGTTTTGTTTTGTGGTATATTAACCTCAATGGGTTATTTAATGCTGACAAGATTTTTATTTCTGGTAATATTTTCTTTTTTCAAATATTTATTGCTGATACTAATTTTTTTTTTAAGTATTTCTGGTATTAAAATCTATTTTTACACTTTCATTAAGCCACTAAAATGAAAGGAGTGACTGAGTGTTAGAGAGTATGTAAAAAAAAGAAAGAAAAATATTATTAATAAAAGAATGAGAATTAAGACAGAAGATAGTGATTGGCATTGCATTTAAATTTTTGAGGATCAAGGTTGACTGGGAAGCTAGAAGCCGGAAAAGAGTTCCACATGTGAGAAGTGTAATAGAAGAAACTATTAGCATAAAACTTATTGTTACATCTTTAGCCCTTTCAACTGTAAAATAATGAGACCTTGCTGCCTATCTAGGATTTATAAAGTCTAGGTACCAGAGGAAAGTTCATCAGAACAATTACTATGAACGTAATTATAGAAAAAGTTCAGGGAAGCTACATAACATTGGTGGGAAAGTGACTGCCAGGTCTGGACCAATAACATTGTAGATTCCTCTTTGGATTTTATAAAAAATCTCTAAATATATAGCAGGAACACTAGACTAACAATATTCAGTGCATGAATGAATGGTAGACTTTTAAATTTGTAAGATAGATTTTGACAAGAAATATTGTCTAGCATGACACAGTGAACCAACTTTCCTAGCAGCAGACCTAGCAATAGATTCAATATAATCTTTCCACTTCATGTCTGTGGAAAATGTTAGCCTGGGAAGGCATAATGGGTCACTTTCCTGAAGGTTAGCATCAGACATGTTGATGGAAAGCAGAAAGAGATCTTTCAGATGAATGATAGAGAGCAGTTTCATTTTGCAAGCATTAAAATTAACAAGCTATTCCTTACCCCTATTAACAGCTGATTGTAGATTATTTTTGAGATCGGCTTCCAATTTGATCTTATAATCAGACTTACTATTAAGGCAGGAGTAAATAGTTGTATCATTATCATAGATACTGAGTTAAGAACTGATACATTCAGGAAGGTCATTTATAAAAATTAGGAACAGTGTAGGTCCAAAGATAGAGCCCTGGTGGAGACTTGTGTTCTTGCAGAAAGACTAGAAGAATATACATTGTGCTAACACAACATCACAAGTCATGAATTTGAGCATACTGGTTTTGTTCAACTGTTGATTTTGCCAAATTATGTGATCTCTCCCTGAAAATGTAGCAAAGATCTACTCAGTGTAGTTTCAGTATAAACCACAGGTTGGCCCTGTAGATGTTGAAGAAACGCAAATCTGATTGAGCAGGCATCTGCAGCATGGACTAGTGAGCCATCCTAACAGACAAACATACTTAAAAATAAATAGCCATGCACACACATATATAGGCACAAGCTGACTGAGCCTATTATAAAGAATTTTTATTGTTCTGTTTGCTTGTCTGATACAAATTCACTTGGCAGATATTTTGAGCTGAATGGATTTAGAAAGCCAGGCAGTTATCTTTAGATCTTTGATGGCACAATCTCTCAGCAATATAAGCAATAGTTTATTTATTAATCTTGTCTGTACATTCATTTTAACATCTGTAAAAAGAAATAAATAAAGCTTAACTTGGATTTATGTGTGTGGCACCTGTCAGTTTTGAGAGACCTTTGATCTGTGTTTGGGGATTTTTAAAAAAATTCAGCTGGTGGCAATTTCTTTTTTTTTTTTTTTAATCATTTCACAAGGGGATAATGCCACTAGGACACAAAGGATTATTGTAACTTTACCCATACCAACTAAAGAGATGTCATTTTTGAATATATGTAGTTGTACCAGTGGCATGCAGACATTTGGCGATGCCTAGGGCCAACTCCTTGATTGTATCTCCCTAAGACTTAAATAGGGGAGCCTATAGGGCCTAGTATGGAGAAATGGTAGATTTTTAAATATGTAAAAACAGATTTAACATGAAATAAAAACTTTATTTCAAATTTCGAAAACTAAATTTTTATTTCACTCTTTGATTGGATTCCCTCCTGATGGGGACCATTACACCCTCTACCCCCACTTCTGCATGCTACTGTACACGTATACTATACCAATAGAGGACTAAAACAAATGTTCAGAGACTTTGGAAAATATCTATATTTGAATACTTTTAAACTCAAACCTGGAGGGATTTGTTGTTAGGTTGGATTGAAGACCAAATTCCAACATTGGAGAAATGGAATTTCATTTTGAAAATATGGTGAGATTTGTCTCATGAAGTTTGTTTATCAGGTTGCCTTAGCAAGGGAAATAGAATTCTGTTTTTAATTAACATCAGTAAAACGTGCATTTGGGAAGAGTAACACAGTATTTCGTTCATTCCTCTTACATTGATATAATGACTAGGGCAAATATATATATTTGTAAGCAAATATATATATTTGTAAGCTAATATATTTCATTAGTTAGCATAGTGTAGATGATAAAAGATTATTGGCAGGAGGCAACTATTTTGTTCTCTTTCTCCTCACTCACTTTGACCTCTCCCTTTCCTCCCACTTCTTCCTTTCTCTTTCTCTCTTTTCTCCTACTTCTCCATTTCTCTCTGTTTTCTCTCACTTGTCATTTTCTTTCTTTTTTCTCTCACTTCCCCTTTTCTCTCTCTTTTTCCCATCTCCCATTTTTCTTTCTCTTTTCTCCTTACATCCTTTTCTCATTCTTCTCACACTTTTCTCTTTTTATCTCTTTTTCCATTCCCTCTCTACTCTTACTTCTTCTTTTCTCTTACTTTTTCTTTTCTCTCACTTCTTTTCCCTCTTTTCTCCCACTTACTGCTTTTGCATTCTTTTCACACTTTCCCTTTCTCTTCTCCAAATTCTGTCTGACTTTTCCTTTTCCCTATCTTCTCCTACTTCTCTTTTTCTCTTTCTTTTCCCCCCATTTCTCTTTTTTCTCACTTTTCTCCTACTTATTCCTTTCTATTTTCTGCCACTTCTTTCTTCTTTCACTTATCTATTCTTTTTCTCCAACTTCTCTCTTACTCTTTCTCATCTTCCATTTCTCCATTTCTCTCTCTCTCTCTGCTTTATTTCCCCTTCCTTTCTCCTAATTCTCCCATCTCCAGTTCTCCTTATCTATTATTCTTTCCTCAAGTATCTTTTCTCCCTCATTCCATTTCTTCCAACTTCCCTTTCTCTTTTTTCTTCCATTTCTTCCTTCTCTTCTAACTTTTCAAACTTCCTGCATCTTCATATACATATAACTACGTATTTGTATTTGCATCTCTCTCTTCCTCCCCACTCTCTTTCTTTCTGTGGATAAAGGATTTTGGGACACTCATGCTTTGTGCAAAGCATAATTAAAATAATTGTTATTTAAATTAAATTTTATAAATAAAAACCCAAATAATTATAATCTTAAAAACAAACATTTGTTATTTTTTATTCCTCTAATAATAAATAAGATGTTTTATATTTTGTTCCTTATACATTTTTTATTGTTTTTGTGGTAAATTCCTTAAAATTTTTAGTTTACTCTTTTGTCAATTCTAGTAGTATTAAAAAGCTATGACTCAAATATAAATGAAAAAGCCTACATTTAAAAAAAAAAAAAAAAACCCACTAAACTTCCCACCAAGTTATTGATAACCAACTGTGCTCTTTTTAAATTTTTCCATTTTGACACTTACAAAAAATCCTGAATCCACTTCTGATTTTTTCTTTTATAAATATTACAGAATAAAATGTTGTATGAATGATAGTGCTTACTACATTGAACATTCAATGGAAGCCATATTGGGTGTAACCTGACTTGTGTGAATTAGACAAACAGCTTTCTCAAAAGCTGAGGACAATAAAGGTTAGGTATTCAATAAGTCATAAGTTGAATTACATTATAACATATCTTTGTCAAACCTTAATGAGAAAAGGTGGGAAGAAATAAAAAACAGTAGATGAGGGAAATAGAAGAAAGAAAAGAAATGAGAGAGAGAGGTGGGGGAGGAATGTAGAAATAGAAGAGAAGAGCACCTTTCTGTTGAGCAGTGGTTAGCAAGCTTATTTTACAGACCATTACTTTTATTGTTAATTTGATCATGATGATGAGATACAGGAGAAAGAAAAAGTGAAGGAAGTACTGGAAGAGAGAAAGAAATTCGTAAGAAGGACTTGCAAGGAGATAGAAGAAGAAAGGGTGGAAAGTGATAAGTTAAAAGAGAGAGAAATGTGTATAAAGAGAATAATGATGCTCTTTCTTCTTTTATTTTTTAAGAGTAAATTTCACCCAATATGAAGCCCAATAGCCACTCAAGGTAGAGGACTACAATCAAATGGTAATAATAAATGAGTTATGTGATACAAATGGAAGAAAAGTTGGTAGGAAATTAAAATTATGAGAATAAGGAGTAAAAATGATGATTGACTTGATGAAGCCAGGATTGAAGTGTTCAGGGAAGAACCCACATGGGAGTTTATTTTCCAATTTAGCAGTTATTGGGGAAAAAACTGTTTGAGTGGAACTTTCTTTTTACATTTGGAACATAAAGGAAATGAGGATGATTCGACTCTGTGGTAGTGGCATGGTGTGTTTGAACCGTGAAGGTTTGAACTTGTAGAACAAAAAAATGAATTTAATCTGAATATTTGCCATGGAAATAGTAACAGTGCAGCAATAAACTTGCAATGTTTTGTCTGTGGGAAAGAAAATATTCTTTCACAAGACTGCATAAACAATTTTAAATTCTGTCAAATTGGGAAAATGAGGATTGTGCAGCTCCAGCCCAGATATAGCATTTCTTTGTGAGTCAACAATCTTAATAATATTTAACTTCCCAGGTGGAGCATTGAAAAATGATAAATCATGAATTAAGACAAGATTACTTCTCAGACATACATTTATCTTTAGTTACCTCCCTGAGGTTATATTAATAAGATTCACATAGCTGTAAAGTGCTTTAGATTGTACATTTTAAGAAGTGATGCAATCTTATCTCATTTATGAGATAATAAAATTTAATTTGAGAATTATGTTGCACCATTCAAACATTCTTTAGAACTTTTAAGTCTGTGTATAAATATGAAGGTAAGTCAAAAATAATGCATTTTATTTTATTATATAAGAAATGGGGAGTCCAATCAAACATATACATCAAATCACAGGTTCACATCACTACTTATTAACATAGCTTTAGAGATTGAATTCAAAATTATAATGAGAAATCCTAATATGCAGAACTTGTTTTGCTTTTCATCATTTTAATTAATAAAATTCTTTTTTGAATAGAATTAAAAATGCAAATCATTTATATCAGGGAATGCCAGCTGACTTCATGGAAGCTTAATGAAACGGACCTGCTTGACTCTTTTTTATCACACTTGGCTAACTAAGATTTGAAATACATTTTATCGAAGACATTCAGTTTTAATATATTTGACATTGTTCAATAAAAATCCTTTGCAATTGCTGAAAATTGCTTCTTTATAATAAAACCAAAAAAATATGATTTGTATTTTAAATTTTTAAGTTACTTCAATATTTCAACTTTCAGCTTTGACTTGTAGGATTTAGCATACCTATAGAAATAATCTACTACTTTAATGTAGTAAATTATCATTGTTTTAAATGCCATGTCTCTCCAGGATGTAGGTAATCATGGCTCAACATATTCCTTTTCCTTATTATTTGTAAATTAACCATGACTTTTTTTCTTTAACTCAGATTTGTCTTTCTCCTTTCTGATTGCCACTCAAGGTTAGAGAGCTCAGTCTACAATACTATTTAATTTATATCTAAAATGGCGATGGGAGAAGATATGGATATGCCTTTCCTAAAGATATGAGTGAAAAGTGAACACAAAAGACTAAAACAGAACTTGAACTCCTTGATTACACTTTCTGTGCTAATATCCATTAGACTATCCTCACATCCACAAAGAACAAACAGTGTCCTAATAAATAACACATCATTAAAATGGCCTGCTACTTTCAGAGCTTATGTTATAGTAAATACATTGTATACAGATGTAGAAAATATAATTATATATGAATTGTATTTTCTTTTCTTTTTAAATTCTAGTAAAATTAGCCATTGTTTTAATTTCAGGAAATTATGCTAAATTTGTGATTTTCTGCATAAGAAAAAAAACTAAAAATCAAAGGACATTTGTAGTGTGTAATCTGGAGACATAAGTATAAACAGATGTGACATAATTTCATAATCTTTCCAATTCGGCTTTTATTTGCTACTATACAAAAAAAAAAAAATAAGAATATGGCTTTTATTTATTTTTTACTGTGGAGTGATATGCATACACATCTAATACAACACTTGACTCAAGACTAAAATATAGCTCAGTTACTCTGACTATTACTGCAGATACCAAGGTATATTTATGATTTTATTCTTTTTAGTGCATTGGGGAGGTGCTGTATGGGACATTAGAGTTACAGACTTCAAATGATTATTGATTTCTTGTCAAAAGTAGCTTTATATATATATATATATATATATATATATATATATATATATATATATATATATATATTAAGACATTTTTATGTTTATACATTCTTTTTATAGATACAAATATTTAAGTAAATGCTCTGTTTATAATAAACAGTATTAACATTTACCGGCCTGAATGTCTGAGAAATTTTCCCAGAAAATATTTGTCCTCCAACAGGATTCGAACCTGTATCCTATATATATATATATATATATATATATATATATTAAGCATTTCACTCTAAGCAAGGCAGGAGTGCTACTAGTGTGTAAGGAGTTACAGAAAGTGATGGTAAGAGAAAAGACCGGGTACAGGGGGGATTGAGGAAAGGAAAAAAAGAACAGGGATCAAGGAATCAGTAGATGATGATTGACATTACATTTAAATTTCTGAAGATTGTAGTTATCGGGGAAGCAAGTAAGAGGAAGGGAGTTCCACTGTCAGGAAGCACAAGAGAAAAAGCTGTTGGAATAGAAGAGGTGGTTACATTTAACTGTTTCAACAGTAAAAGGGTGAGACTGAGATGCCAACCTGGTAGCACACTTAAATTCATGCAGTCGGGGTACCAGTGAAAGTAGCTTGTCAGAACAGTTGCCATGAATTTAAAAAAGAAAATAGAAAAAACCCTGTTGAGCTTCTCAAAAATGAGTTACTAAGTTTGTATAATTAAATTTCTTTTAATTTGACTTTGGAATGGAGTATTTGTAATAAGACATGAAAGAAAAGTGTAGCTTAGGAAGCTTTATTTAGCTTTGAATTATTTATTGATGATTTAATACATCAAATATGGCACAAGATCTAAAATTATGGAAGAGCAAGGCTGGTTTTCATATGTCAAACATTTAACTTAAACCCAATCATCTGATAATATTCCTTTCATCAAAACTTCACATTCTTGTTTACTATTTTTATTACAGTCACTGAAATACCACAGTTTCTCTATGAAGTCCTAACTAGTCCCCATATGTACCATATAATGTCTATAGGGAGTAGGGAATAAAAACAACAATTTTAAAAATATTTAACCCCTATGTGTATTTAAAATGTGAAAACATATTTTCTTTTTTAATCAATTCGCCCCAAGCAAGTCAATAAAGCCACTAAGATGCAAGGGTCTACTGGTCGTAATAGAGAATGAAGAAATTTTTAGAAGAAACTGGAAACCAAATGCTTAACAAGAGATAAACTTCTATTCCTGTTCAAAAGACTGGGGAGGAGTGTGAAGCAGACAGTAGGCAAACTTATCTACTTCTATTGAGGAAAAAGAAAAAATAGTAAATAAAATTTCAGAGTTTAGGCAGAGATGTTATAAATATAGAGTTGAAGTAGATTTTAGAAGGGTCCAGAAAACCAATCTTAAATGGGAAACAACAACTATTCCTCTTCAAAACAGTGGAGAGGAATGCGAACCAGATGATAGATGAACCTATCTACTCTTATTGAGGAAAAAGAAAAAAATAGTAAATAAAATTTCAGAGTTTAGGCAGAGAATTTACAAAACTAAACAAAACCGTATTAGTAAGTAAAACCCCCACAATCCTAAATTGTGGTACAAATATTAGTTCACCAGATGAAAATAATGTGGGATTAAATAAATAGACAACTACTCATTCTACCAGCCACATACTCAAACAGATACAATAAAAACTACAAAATACATGTTTGAAATGTGAAATGCATCCCACATCCACTAGAGAACTGATATCTCTGTCAACTAATAGAGGTTATTAGAAGGAGGGGGATTAAACTAAAGAGAGAGGGAGCAAAAATAAAAGGGGCCAATGAGCATGCATAAACTAAGTTGACTTATGTGGAGAAA